GGCAGTATCACTACGGAAGTAGGATTGCCCAACCTTCCTTCCGAGGAGTGGCTGGTGGGTTTGAACCGCCAGCCTTCTGGTTAGCAGGCAAGTGTCTTAGCCACTATGCTACCAGAGCTCCTATAAACTAGCATAAAGGGTATATATTTTCTGATATCATGAACATTGGTTAAATTGTTCTAGGTCACAGCTTCCCAGTTCTCCGCATCTAACAACAAGTGTTCAATCCTGATGCTAGCAGATAGTGAGAATGAGAAGAGTAAGTGGGTGGGAGTGCTGAGTGAATTGCACAAGATCTTGAAGAAAAACAAATTCAGAGACCGCTCAGTCTATGTTCCTAAGGAGGCTTATGACAGTACTCTACCCCTCATTAAAACAACCCAGGCAGCTGCAATTATAGGTATGAATTTACATTTATCTTATTTTCATAATTGTTTACTAATTTACCTTGTGACCAGAAACCGTCTTTCATCTAGGAATCTCCCATATTCAGTGTAAAATGTGTTATATCACAGATGCTCAACAAATATTTATTGAATAAATGAAGCCTATATTAGAACTTTGGTTTTCGGTTAGCAAGAATAAACACACTTTCCAAATGCTTGTTCTTCTGAAAATCCAACAGTGCCAAAGATGAACTGATCTATTAAGCAATCTATTTTCTGTTTGTAACTTAGAACAAGTTACTTAATTTCATAGACCTTAAATCACATATATAAATTGTTAATATTAATGACCTCGCTGAGGTTTTTGGGAAGCTTCAATAAGATGGACTGCGTAAAAGAGTGTCTTGGATATGAATTGCCCTCAGGAAATGGTAGTTTCTGTATCTGTAGTTTTAAAATTTAGGCATATTCTTACATACACATTCATCTCTTTTACTTTCTAATAAATACTGAAAAGTTTAATGAATAGTGTTCCAATTTGTTTGCCTTTCACAATTTTTTCCTCCCAAAACAAGAAATAGAACTGGACCCAGAGCACTAACAAAGTAAATTTTCCATTTTTTTCCTTATTCATTGAATAGACATTTCATTATTTTTCTAAGTAATGACATGTATTAGTTTCTAATGATTCAGTGTGTTAGTTTCTAATGATTGTTCTGTTCAAAATGACTCGAGTGATGAAGAAAACCAAAGATTCATGGAAACAATTAGTCCAAACAACTGGCACACCATGTGATCCTCACCCTATACGACAATGAACAGAAGAACTAGATGGTGCCCGGCTACCACTGTCAACCACTCAGAGGGGGATCTATGTAGGAGATCCTGGATAGAGTGGGAGAACAACGTGGAACAAAACTCAAAATCATTTGGGAGATAAAAAAGGGGGGGACCAGGTTTGCTGGTCTGATAGAGCCTGATGGAACCACTGAGACTGTGTCCCCTAGCTGCCCTTCAGGTTTGGAATTGAACCCACTCCTGTGGCTTCCAGCCAAAGAAAACCAGGCATATGAACTGAACATTTAAATTAGGTAGATATACTCCTTGGAGAGAACACTCATGGGAGAATAGAAGGGCTGTGTATGAACAGGGAGACAGCAAGGGGCAGCAGTGCGTGGAGGGAAGGACACAAGAAGAGGTAACTATGGGGAGGAAATGGGAGGGGAGCTGTTGCATTGTGGTAAATTGTGGTCAATGTCATGAGACAAAGTGTGTGTGAACGGCTGGGGGGAAGGTGAATTTGCTTTTCACACAAATCACAATTTAAAAAACAAATGACTTGAGTGATAATAATTACCACTGTATTCTGAAAGGAAAAGTTAATTGTGCAAATTGTTACTGTTAATTTTTCAATTTTTACTTATTTTAGTTACTTTACTTTCTTGCATCAAATTTCCTTTTCTAATAAGTCGTATCTAGTTTATTTCTTTAGCTTTCTATAGTGTATACTAATAAATGTTTCATTTTTCTGTCTTACATAGATCATGAAAGGATAGCTTTGGGAAATGAAGAAGGGTTATTTGTTGTGCATGTAACCAAAGATGGTAAGAAAAAAGTTAATTATTTTGGAATAACTTTAGACCATATGTTTTGTTGTTGTTGTTGTTTTGTGCCCTCGAATCGTACCTGACTCTTAGCGACCCCTCCTTGGGTTTCCGAGGCAGTATCACTACAGAAGTAGATCACCCCATCTTCCTTCCAAGGAGTGGCTGGTGGGTTTGAACAGCCAGCCTTCTGGTTAGCAGTCAAGTGCCTTAGGTAAGGTACTATGCTACCAGAGCTCCCTAGATCATATGTTTAAGAATACTAAATTCTAAATATATACCAGAATTTTATTTATTTTTTAGCTGAAACTTTCCAGATCCAATTTGATGTTTTTTGTTTTTTTAAATTTTAAGAGCTTGTTTTACATTCAATGTTACGTATACATTTAGTTTTGCTCCCCATTTACCATGTCCAACCCTAATCCAGTCTCCTCCCCTCCCTACCCTATAACTCCTCCTGTGCCCCTCATACTTATGTACTCCTGTTTGTCCTGCATTTCCTCAATTTGAATGTTGGTCTTCTGGTGTCCCGTGGTCTATTGCTCTAAGGGATGTATTACCATAGAGTATGTGGGTGTGTTAATCCTGGGTTGAGTGGTCTGTGTGTATGTATATCTTGTTAACTATTGGGCAGAGAGCCAGCCCCTGGGGGTGCTTTCTATTCCAGGCACAGAATGTATTCCAGGGCAGTAATATTGGGGGTCTCACCAGATTTCATCTGACCAGTAATGCTGGTCATTATTGAGTTTTTGGATTTTGTTTCATGTTTTCCCTCCCACTCTATCCAGAATCTCCAGATTTGATCTTTTCCTGAGTGGTTGGCATTGGTAGCTGGGCACCATCTAGTTCTGGTCTCAAGGGCCATCGTGTCTTAGGGCTGATTGCTTCCAAATGCCCTTCGTTTTGTTGTTGTTGTTCTTGTTGTTTTGCATTCTTCTTCACTTCCAATGCTAAGAGACCATTAGCTGCATCTTAGATGGCCACTTGAAAGCTTTTAAAACCCCAGTCATTACTCACCAATGTAGAATGTGAAGCAAGGTTTTTATGTATTTTGTTGTGCCAGTTGAGCCTGGTGTCCCCCAGTACTATGGTCCTGAGATGGTAGATCTATTAGATCTCTCTCCCATGGTGTCTGGTTGTCTGGGAGGGATTACTCTGTGTCTGTCCCCTATTGTTTCTGTAAGGAATGCAGGTATTTTTTATCACTGGTGTCTGTGCAAGATTAGCCTCAGCTGAATCTATCCTTGGTCTGCAGTATACGCCTGTTCACTGACCCCCATCTGATCCTCTCAGGTGTTTATGTGTTTATCTGTAGCGTGGTGTTTGGTGTTAATGGCAATGCAGTACTATAGACACATTGGTTGCTATTAGCATCTGTTGTCTATCTCTTATGTACACAATTTTGTGTCCTCCCATTTCCTAATGTTATCATGGTGGTCACAGATCCTCCCCATATATCCCTCCCCCTACCCACATCAGCATGTGGGCCCCAACTAGCCCAAAATTAATCCTTCCCCTTCCCTCCCCATCCCAGTAACCTACAAAGTGAGTTTCCTTTCCCAAGCAAACCCTTGTTTTTTTATAGTAATGGGCTCATACAGTACTTGTCTTTCTGTGATTGACTTATTTCACTCAGCATAGTGTCTACAGGTTCATCCACATTGTGAGATGATTCATGTATCCCTCATTGTTCTTTAATGTACCATAGTATTCCATTGTGTGCATGTACCATAATTTGGTTATCCACTTATCCATTAATGGGCATTTAGGCTGTTTCCATCTCTTTGCTGTAGTGAATTATGCTGCGATGAACACAGGTGTACATATGTCTGTTTGTGCTATCTCTCTCTTTAGGATATATTCCTAGTAATGGAATTGCTGGGTCAAATGGTACTTCTATTTTCAGTTTTTTAAGGAAACACCATACTGTTTGCCACAATGGTTGTACCATTTTACAATCCCACCAGCAGTGCACAAGTTCCAATCTCTCCACAACCTTGCCAGCATTTGTTATTTTCTGACCTGTTAAACTTTGCTATTATTGCTAGGGTGAGATGATATCTCATAGTTGTTTTGATTGCATCTCTCTAATGATTAACAATTGCGAGCAATTTCTCATGTGTTTGTTAGCTGCCTGTATATCTTCTTTGGTGAAGTGTCTATTCAAGTCTTTTGCCCATTTGTGAATTGGGTTATTTGTCTTTTTTGATGTTGAGGTGTTTAAGTTTTCTATAGACTTTGGAGATAAGTACTTTATCAAATATGTCATAGGCAAATATTTTCTCCCAATTTGTAGGTTCTCTTTTTACCCTTTTTGAGAAGTCTTTCGATGCGCATAAGAATTTAATTTTTAAAAAGGCCCAGTCATCTAGCTTCTCTTCTGTCTCCTGCCCATTCTGGGTTATGCTTGATAGTCTATTTATGCCGTAAATTAGGGCTCCCAGATTTGCCCCTATTTTATCTTTAATGACTTTTATAGTTTTGGGTTTTACATGTAAGTCTTTGATCTAGCATGAGTTTATTTTTGTGTATGGTGTGAGGTATGGGTCTTGTTTCATTTTTCTACAGGTGGATATCCAGTTTTGCTAGCACCATTTGTTAAAGAGGCTGTCTCTTCCCCATTTAATGGGTTTTGGACCTTTGTCAAAGATCAGTTGTCCATAGATGGATGGGTCTATATCTGGACTTTTGATTCTGTTCCATTGGTCTATCTGTCTATCATTATACCAATACCATGCTGTTTTGACTACTGTGGCTGTATAGTAGTTCTTAAAATCTGGGAGTATGAGACCTCCCACTTTGTTTTTCTTCTTGAGAAGTGCTCTGTTTATCCAAGGTCTCTTTCCTTTCCACATGAAATTAGTAATTAGTTTTTCAGATTTTTGTTGAAATCTGGATTGGGAATGCATTAAATGTGTAGATTGCTTTAGGTAGTATTGACATTTTCACAATATTTAGTTTACCTATCCACGAGGAGCTCTGGTAGCATAGTGCCTAAGGCACTTGACTGCTAACCAGAAGGCTGGCAGTTCAAACCCACCAGCCACTCCTTGGAAGGAAGGTGGGGCAATCTACTTCTGTAGTGATACAGCCTGGGAAACCCTAGGAGGTGTCTCTATGGGTCAGGTCCAACTCGACAGCACATAACAGCAACAACATCCATGAACAAGGTAGGTTCTTCCATTTATGTAGTGCCCTTGTTGTCTCTTGTAGCAGTGTTTTCTAGTTTTCTTTATATAGGTCTTTTGTGCCTCTGGTGAGGTTTATTTCTAGATATTTTATCTTTTTAATGGCTATAGTAAATGGTATTGTTTCCCTTATTTCTTTATCAGAGGACTCTTTGTTGGTGTAGAGGAATCCAACTGATTTTTGTATGTTGACCTTGTATCCTGCCACTTTGCTGAATCTCTCTATTAGTTCCAGTAGTTTTTTTATTGAGTCCCTTGGGTTTTCTATGTACAGGATTATATCATCCGCAAATCGAGATAGTTTTACTTTCTCCTTGCCAATTTGTATGCCTTTTGTTTCTCTTTCTTGACTTATTGCCCTAGCCAGGACTTCCAATACAATGTTAAATAGAAGTGATGATAGAAGGCATCCCTGTCTGGTTCCCATTCGTAAAGGGAATACCTTGAGTCTGTCTCCATTAATAATAATGTTGGCCATTGGCTTTGCATATATATCCTTTATTATGTTGAGGAATTTCCCTTCTATCCCTATTTTGCTGAGAGTTCTGAACAGGAATGGATGTTGGATTTTATCAAATGCCTTTTCTGCATCAATTGATAGAATCATATGGTTCTTTTCTTTTGTTTTGTTTATGTGGTGGATTATATTGTTTGATTTTCTGATGTTGAACCACCCTTGTAAACCTGGTATGAATAGCACTTGATCAGGATGTATTAATTTTTTGATACGTTGTTGGATTCTGTTGGCTAGGATTTTGTTGAAGATTTTTGTATCTATGTTCATGAGGGATATTGGTCTGTAGTTTTCCTTTCTAGTGGTGTCTTTCTCTGGTTTTAGTATTAGTGTTAGGCTTGCTTCATAAAATAAGTTTGTGAGTATTTCATCTTTTTCTGTGTTCTGGAATAACTTGAGTAGTATAGGTGTCTGGAATAACTTGAGTAGTATAGGTGTCGGGAGCTCTGGTAGCATAGTGGCTAAGACACTTGCCTGCTAACCAGACAGCTGGCGGTTCAAACCCACCAGCCGCTCCTCGGAAGGAAGGTTGGGCAATCCTACTTCCGTAGTGATACTGCCTCGGAAACCCAAGGAGGGGTCGCTATGAGTCGGATTTGACTCAACGGCACAT